GTTGCAGCAGGGTCCGCCCCGAGGCACCCTGAGCGCCCGCAGGTCTGGAATCCTTGACCCACCAGGTGCGGCTCACTTCCGGTCAGGGGTCAGGGCAGGGATCACCTGGGCTCTCTCCACCGGTGGCCTGTCCCCTGCGGCCTCTGGAGCCGATGGGGACCTTGGGGGCCACTGTTCCCCAAATGAACTCGTCCTGCGTCAGGGCTCAGCCCTCTGGGAAGGAGGGACCCCCCCAAGCCGTTTCCATGCGTTGCCCCCAGCTTGAGGCCAGGTGCCGGTCAGGCCCAAGGACACCCCCCCCCACCACCATCCAGGGCAGCGCGCAGGGGCAGGTGGTGGGCTCAGTCTCAGGGGCTCCCACAGGACCCTCCCAGGAGGAAACACAGCATCGTCACCTACACCCGCTTTATTGAGCTCCATCGTAGACACGGGCATAGACACAGCCGGGAACACGCGACAGTGTCCGCTCCGGGCGAGTACCAGTGGCCTCCCTAACTCTGGCGTCACATTTACAGGGAATTGTACGAAGCAGGTATAATGATGAAACGAATGAAGAAAATGACCAACACAGCAAGGCCAACGGTCAGCGCCCAGATGTTCAGGCACTTGGCGGTGGCCGCATGGCTCTGGGCCCCAATCACGTCTCCCACCATCTTCCGGTCCCTAGACTGGGGGAGAAGAGATGGTGAGGGGTGTGGACGGGCCCTGGGGACAGCCGGGTGCTGTGACTCAGGCCCGGCTCTGGCTGCTCCCTGCCCAGACCAGCCTCCACCTGCCCTCAGCCAGGTCAGCGACCCCCTCCCTGTTCCCTGGAGTCTGAGCAGGACAGGCCAGGGGGGCCTCCCTCACAGCCTCTCAGCCTCTCCAGGGCCTCTGGGCTCCTCTCCCCCCACCAGGGGCCAGGGGTTCCGAGTTCCCTTGTTCTCCCTTCAGAGCCTTGAGGCCGTGTGGAGAGTCTGAGGGATGTAGTTTCTGGTGTTGTCAGTAGAGAACAAAGGCTGACACTGCGTGTACACACACACACACACACACTCACACGCACACACGGGCTCCTCAATCCCAAGGGTCATCTGGGCAGCACACCTGTGGGGGCGCACACGCTTTCCAGGGAAACCCCCCCACGAACCCACCTTCACGGAGTAGGCGAACGCCACGAAGCCCAGGCAGCATATGTTGAAGTAGAGGGTGTTGAACAGGGACCAGACGATGTGGTCGGGCACCCCGGGCTCATCCTGGACGTGGACCACGGTGGACATCACGGGCCCTGAGTTCTGGGGAGCCCCCAGCACAGACACCTTGTGTTCCTCCTTGAACATCTCCGGCCCTGGGTTCTGGGGAGACCCCAGGTTGTTCACCTCGTATTCCTCCTTGAACATCTCCGGTTTGGGGAGCAGGTGGGGTCCCAGGTGAAGAAGGTGGACGCGTCCTGAGGCAGAGGCCTGAGCCGTGTGGCTGCAGCTGCTGGGGCTGCGCCGGCCCCGCCTTCCCGGGGGAGTCTGACTTCTCAGAAGTGCCCGTTTCCTGGGGTTTTCAACACGGGTGACTTGGCTGGTTCCTAGGAGGGGGGAAGGAACCCATGATGTCAGGTGACATAGAGCAGATTGGGAGGAAATCCTGAGGTTTACCGTCGTCTACATGGGAGTTTCCTGTCTCCATCACTCATGCAGGTCTGGTCTCCTTGAGGACTCGGTGGGCCCTGGTGGCTTTTCCCAGGCGGCAGCCACCCATCCCCCCCACCCAGGCCCAAGCCCCTGCGGTCTCACCCCCATGCAGGGCCCTGCCTGTGGCCCCGTGGACCCCGCATTCCAGCCCCAGAGTGAGGCCGCCCCACAGCCCACCCTCGGCTGGCTCAGGCCTCTTCTCCGAAGCCAACGCTGCTGCAGGTGGGGTGGTGCCTCCTGGTTGGGCCTGGACCCAGCAGCCCCTGTTGCCTGTCTCAGGGGGCCCTGCAGGCTCTCTCGGGGGCCAGGGG